CACAGGGAAGCGTGCTCTGCATCGCACCCTCGCCTCCAGCCAGCCCTCACCTGGTAAGACCCCACTCCCCACTGTCTTTCATCTCTGACAGCAGCAGGATTTGCCCTGCTCTTTTCCCTCTCTTCCCTGTGTCTCTTCTGGTGCAGCCTTGACTGCAGCCTGCGCCCGGCTGTTGGAGCAAAGCCCTACTGCATTTTGCAGGAGAAAATGCAGCATTCATCCTCTCCCACCTGCCCATCCCCTCCACATGCTGCCTTGAAACCTTCCTGTCCCCCAAGCCTGGACTGATCTGCCTTCTCCAAGCCAGAGCAGAGTCCATGAGCAGCATCCTGGCTCCCACCCCGCTCCTCCTGGGGAACAGGGCTTTACTTTGAGGAGCCAGCTGGAGTTGCTGCTGCCCCAGCATGAATGCAATTAGCTGGGAGAGCAGGTGGCTCAGAGCAAGGATTAACCTCGCAACGCCAATGGGAGGTCAGGCCTTGATAATTCACCTCTATTTGGTCTCCTGCAGGGACCAGGCTCCCCTTAACTAGTCAGAGCACAGAGGGGTTGCATGCCCCAGGTAATGCCTCCAGGACTGGGTCTGTGTCCCCTGCTGCTCTGCACCTCCTGTCCCCAACCAGATCTGGCTGTGCCAGGTTGTCCAGTCATTCAGCAGATAATTCTGAGTGGCTCTGGATAAAGAGCAGGACCCAACACATGGGGCTGAGTCCAAATTCCCACCACAGCAAGCAAGAAGGACCAGAGCGGTGGCACCTTGCAAACAGGCATCTGCTCCCCAGCCTGCTGCCGGCACTGGGTCACTCAAAGAGTTTCTGCAGGTCTTCCATGGGCAAAAATCATCCTGTTTGGCTGCCAGCACGTCCCAGAAAAGAACACTAGGTCAGGCAGTTGCAAACACATCTTCTCTTCCCCCTGCCTATTCCCTAGCTTAGATGTAGGGGACATTTTTGCCCTTGATCCAGCTGCTTGAGGAGTTGATCTCCTCTCAGACGCATTTCCTAATCTTCAAGCCCTGCCCATCAAACCTCTAATTGCCGCTTGCCCTCCATGGCCATGCCCCGGTCCTGGTGTGGGGCAGGCATTGAGCTACGGCAGCCCTGCTTGAGGAGCAGGAGGTTTGCAGAGAAGACCAATTCACGAGCAGGTAGGTGAGGAATAGATCAGGGAGCCTTTGCCATCCCTGCTGCCAGGTGTCCATCACACCATCCATGCAGCAATTCCACGCTGGCCATTTCTGGGAGGCCGCGCAGCCGTTTTCTAAACGGTCTCTCTTTTTTCTTTCCTGTTTTTGTTCCCTTTTCTTTTGTTTCGTTTTTCAAAGAACACATTGTTACAAGAGCTGGAAAATACCCAAAAGCAGATAGAGGAACACCAGCACGACAAGGTAAATGCCGCTGCAGGGAGCCTGCCCTAGTGACTGCGCTTCCTCACTCCTAATCCCCAGCTAGTGGCAGTCACGCCTCCTAAAATACCCTAGTTTCGGACGAGCTGGGATCCCAAAGCGCCCAGCAGCAGGAGGCCACAAACTAACCCACGTAGTGGTTGGATGGAAGCTGCCACCCGCCTCCCCGGAGACCCCCGGTTCGGTTCCCTAACAGGCACGTTCAGTCCCGTCTCCATATTTCTGTCACGCTCATCCATTCCCAACCCCCCGCCGAGGACAGCAGCGAGGCCAGGGTGGCTTCACCCATGTGTCTAGAGGAGGGTTTACCCCAGCGCTCCTTGGTGCAGCCTGGCTGTGAGAGATGATGCTGCTAAGTCAGCCCCTTCTCCTTCACCCCCAAAGCTTTCTCAACCCCCTCACTCAAACTGGGGGGAAGATCTGCTCCATGCCCAGCTTGCAGAAGGCCCCGTAGGGTTTTGCACCTCCCCTGCTCTCAGATAAAGCATCTGAGTAGGGTCTGCAACATGAGTCCACGTTGGCCTGTGCTGGAAAGCTGGAGAGTTGCAGCTTTTTGAAGCAACGGGAGCTTTTTGGATGTGCCCCTTGTCTCGCGCATGGTTGGGGGGATTGGGGGGCTGCTTTCCCCCTTGCCCGGGGCCTTGCTCTCCCCGATCCTCCCTGCCTGCAGTGAGGATGTGCGGGCATCGCTCACCCTTCCCAGCCATGGTTGCTCAGCTCCAGGCAGAGGCATAGCTTGGAGACTCACATGATGCTGCCTGCATGTTCCCCACCCTGGTTCAGCCTGTTTGCCCCCAGGACTGGATCCTGCTGTGCCTGGAGGATCCCCTCTCTGCCGCCTCCCTGCCCACCCACAGCCTCCCCCATCGCATCTCCCACAGGACAGCATGGCCACTTAGTGCAGGCACAGGTTCCCGTTGAGAATGGGGCTGTCAGCAGGAGGGATGGGGCCAGCATCAAATGTGGCTCGCGGGTCCCTCGCTGTCAGCCCTTTGCCAAGGCGAACGTGCACGTGCAGTCTGGAGCAAAACCAGAGCATCCCAGTGGGACCGATTTTCCCTCATCTCAAACCAGCATCGCTTCGAGCACGCATGTGTCTGTCTGTCTGGCCTGTGATCACTTCCTCCCTTCACGGCATTGCCCCAGCATCATCATTCACTGTCACCTGCATGAGCTGTTTCTTTACCGATGGTGTCAAAGGTGCTTTAAACCTTGGATGGGATTTTTAAAGGGAATATAAACCTGGAAATAGCTAAGGATGTGGATGGCTCCAAACCTGGCTGCTCTTCAGAGCAAAACCAACCCCTGCCTGTCTCTTGTCTTGCCCCGAACAGCGACGGTTGTCCGATGAGATTGACAAACTGAGGCTGGAGGTTGATCAGCTCAAGACCAGAAGTGGGACATTCGTGGAGAGTGTGCACGCAAGGTAAGGGCTGCCTGCCAAAACCCTGCCAAGCTGTGCCTGCCCCGCTTGCATCCTGCACCCATGGCTTTGGGGGCACTTTGCTTTTAAGGCCCCAAAATGCTGTTGGCATCAGGCATTTCTGGTTTCACCATGCCTCAGTGCCGGGCTGCAGGGTGGTTCATCGCAGGAGGGTGAGCTCTGGCTGTGCTGTTCCCGCCATGGATTTGTCCTGGGGTGGGACACAGACTGTTGAGAATAGGCCAGCCCAACTGAATGGCCCAAAATTTGCTCTTCTAAGGGTGAAAAAACACTGGGCACCGTTTCTTTTTCTGCACAAAGGGCTGAGGCCTTAATTTTCTATGAAAGCTGGATGTTCACCAAATGCCTTTCCCCTTGTGGTGTGCTGGGGATGCACTGGTGGAGAAGGAGGAATCTCTTTTGAGGTGTTGCAGGCAAAGGAGAATGAACTCTCCCATTTTTTCCCTTCCTGTCTACAATAATCCTTCCACACCCTTTCATTTAAATTCATCCAGGAGATGGGGAGGTCTCAGCCCAGAGCACCAGGAGGAGAGGTGAGTCCATCGGGTCTCAGCCTCTGGCACTGACTAGGGTACCCAGCACTGCTGCAAGAAAGCAAGGTGTTAGAAAAGGAGGGTGCCAGCATGTCATGCACCCCACTGCATTGCTGCAGCCACCTGGCAGACCACATCTTCTCCTGAGCATTTTCGATGTGGGTTAGAGGCAGCGAGGGGTCAATGAGAGCGACCACCAGTGGGGAAAATTCAGTTCTCAGGAAAGCTGGAAAAGATGGAAAGGACCCAGTGTAACCAGCTTCAAATCTGTCAGCAGCTGTGGCAGAGAGGAGAAGGCCTGGAGGCCCTGTATCTGTCATGGAGAGAAGAAACAGGGAGAGCAAGGAAGAGCGAGGAAAGCTGAGTGCCAGAGGAGTGTCTGAAGCATGTGTGGGACCTCTTTGTATGGGTCTGTAAGAACAGGATGGACAATTTTTTATTTTTATTTTTTTTATTTCTTGGAGGAAAAATCAGCAGAAAGCTTGAGTTACAGAGGCCAGAATAATCCCCCAGCTGAAATGTCAGCTTTTGTCTAAGGCGCCTTTATCTGGTTTTAGCTCAGGAGCAGCTTGTCAGCGGCTCCGCAGCTTAAATCCCCTTGAAACTTGGGCTGTGCCTTTGTCTGCAAACACCAAGCTGATGCCAAGCCAAGCTGCTCATGTTAGCGTTTTTGTCTGGGCTTGGTAGGATGCTGGGATGGGGAGCCCAGATCTGTATCTGCACTGCAAACTGGACCCGCCATGGTGGAAAAACACTGATCTGCCTTGGACAACTGCTTTTGTCATCTTAAATCAAAAAAACCTCATGCCTCCTATGGAAATGCATGTAGGGAGTAATGACCCTGTGCTTTGCTCAGCTGTGTGGTTGGGTCATCAGGACAAGGAGGAGCAACCAGGCAATGTGGAGATATGCAATGAGTACCACGAGCGGCAAAAAGTGGCCTTGTGTCCAACAGCAGCCACTGCGTGGCTCTGCCCAGCACGGCGACCAACTCCTGAACACCAGCCCAAGCATGGAGGAGGATGAAGAAGTCCCAACCGGTTTCTGCTGGGAGATCCCAAACAATGCTCATGTCCCTGTACCTGGAAGATCTGTTTCAAATGGAATTTTATTCATCAGGGATTTTTTTCATGAAAATGTTGAAGAAAACATAAAAAGGACAAAAGCTCCCTGGCTGGGCCCTGTTCTGTACAACAGGGATGGAGAAGACAGGCAAAAGATGTGCTGTACACATTGGGAGGTGCAAGCTGTTTTCAAGAGGGGAGGACAGGAGGGGACTGTTCAGCCCATGGTTTCACAGCAGACCCACTGTGTAGGGTGTTTTTGGCCAGAACTGGCTGGATGCCCCAGAGGGTACTGCAGCACAGAGGGAGGTAGCAGCAGGGTAGTGCCCAAGGCTGAGCTCCCTCCAGTCTGTGAGCCCTTCTTCAGGGTCAGTGTGGGGGGAATGGGGAACCTTTTTCCGGAGCCTAGTTTTGCATCATTTTGTGCAGAGCAGGCAGGCATCGCTGGGGTGGCCTCGTCCTCCTCCTCTGTCCTGAGCTAGTCTGGGCTGCAAGGGGAGCAGCCCAAGCACAGGAGTATCCTTGCATGGAGCAGTGTCCGCAACAGGATTCTTTCTCCCCAGGTCCCATATGGGCAGCGCGACAGATCTGCGCTTTCCACTGAGCGCCGTGGTCCATGCCCCCGCCGAGCCCTTCAGCACAGCCCCAGGCCTGCCTCGGGCGCAGAAGGGTCGATTTGCCGCCCGGCGAGAGGAGCCAGCCAAGGTAATCCATCTTCATGCCAGCATGGGGTCAGGGTTGGGATCACCTCCTGCCTTGCATACTGGTCTCATGTGTCCGTGATTTGGGGACATGGGGCAATTTCCTTCACCTGGTGCATGGATGGGGGTAACATGGTAGGAAGGGTTTCTCCACTGGGATTGCGTTGAGGTGTGACTGTTGCATGGAGGTCTCCAGTTTGGCTTTTGGAGACATAGGGGTGCCATGTAGGACCAGTGGACCTTGTTCCCCCAGGACTGGGAGCAGGCCCAGGCAGGCAGCGTCCTGGCCACGGGGCCTCACGCCTTCGACAGTGACCCTGAAATCTCTGACGTGGATGAAGACGACCGTGAGACACTCTTCAGCTCCATGGATGTGCTTTCTCCCAGTGGGCACTCGGACGCTCAGACATTGGCCATGATGCTCCAGGAGCAGCTGGATGCCATCAATGAAGAGATCAGGTAGCAGCCATGGCCAAAACCCACCACTGCCTTGCTCTGAAATGGCTTGGGGGGGAAAAAAGTGTAGGTGGGGGTGGGTGGGGGGGGGGCAACAAACTGCCAGGCAGTGGGAGGAGGTTCTGATGCCCTAAAATTGAGATCTTGGTCCAGCTTCAGCCAGGGAAATGGCTCCAGGACATCCAGCCTCAGGGCTTGGTCCTTCCTGCACATGGCTCCCTTCCCTCAGCTACACCAGTGCTGGCTCACAGAAAGGATCACTATTTTAGAAAAAAGTCCCCTGTTAATATTAAAAGAAATCGTGGTGTGTCTCAGCTCTGGTTTATGTGGATCCTGATGGGTCTTTCTGTCATTCCTGGAGATCGAGGGATCGAGTCACAGCACCTAAAGTGCATTTCCCAAGAGTAAGGAGATCCTATGGCTGGGAGATGTGAGATGACTCCCCAGAAAGGTGGGGAGCCAGGAGCTCTGAGTCCCACTGCTCCCCCAGGATGATCCAAGAGGAGAAGGAGTCCACTGAGCTCCGCGCAGAGGAGCTGGAGACCCGTGTCACGAGCGGCAGCATGGAGGGCCTCAACCTCACCCAACTCTGCAAAAGGGCTTCCATCCCCACCTCACTGACAGCCCTGTCCCTGGCCAGCTCATCCCCACCACTCAGTGGCCGCTCCACCCCCAAGCTTTCCTCCCGCAGCGCCGCTCAGGACCTCGACCGCATGGGGATCATGACGTTGGTGAGGAGGCGTGCAGGGCGGACGGGGGACTGGACAGGGTGTTTGCGTGGCTGCCTGGGGTGGGACTGATGCCCCAGTGTCCACATGGGTCTGTGGGAGGGTAATGTGGAATGGGGGTGCCCATGTTTGCTGCCTCCCAGCCTGGCACGCCTGGCCCTGGGGCTGCTCTGCGCGGGAGTTCTCCATTAACTGCCCCCCTTTCTGTGTCTCTCTCGCTTTCCCCCTTGCAATCAGCCCAGCGACTTGAGGAAGCACCGGAGGAAACTGCTAGTGAGTGGCTCCCATCCCGTTGGTTTTTGTCCAAGCCCCTTTTCCAGCCTGCTCCTGGCTTTGTCCACACCAGGTCAGGGTGCAGCAGGCGCGGGATGGAGCTGGGGACCCCAGGGATTCAGCAGGCGGATCATGGGGATCCCATAAGGTGCTTGGATATGTGCCGGGTGGGCGCCTGGGGGGTCTGGCAGGACATGGGGAGGTTCAGAAAGCCACTGGGTCCTCAAACATTGTGTGTCCCCTCTGGCGACAGGGTGTCTTTGGGACATTCCCATCTGTGCTCCTCAGAGCACTCTGCTGAGGGCCAGCAGCTTCTGTCCCCACACCCTGACCTGGACCATGGGGCTGCATCCTCTCCTCCCTGTTCCCAGGATCTTGGCCATATGGCCACATCCTCCCATCTGCTTGGGCATCTCGAGCCATTGCCAGAGCTCTAGTTCAGGCCAATCCTGGAGCGTGGCAAAGCCTCAGGGCCCTGGTGGCTCTTTTGGCCATGCCTCCATGGAGCAAGAGAGAGGCAGGCAGCAGGGCAAGGATGGAGCTGGGCTTTGGCCGCCCATCCTCATGGCTTCTCTGCTTGTTCAGTCACCTGCAGCTCGGGATGAAAGCCGAGAGGATAAAACCACCATCAAATGTGAGACGTCCCCCCCATCCTCACCCAGGACGTTGCGGCTGGAGAAGCTGGGCCACCCCGCGCTAAGCCAGGAGGATGGGAAGAGGTATGCAAAGCACCCTTTGGATCTTACACCAGTGCCTGCTCTGTTGGTTTGAGGATTTACATGGGGCAAGCATGGGATTGTGGGATGGGCTGGGGTTTGCCATGGCTTGTGCGCTGCTCGGGAATAACCTAAAAGCTTTGCTGTTCCTCTCCCTCCTCCATCCCCAGCTCGCTGGAGGAGCAGGCCAGCAACCCCAGCAGCAACAGCAGCCAGGACTCCCTGCACAAGGGCTCCAAGAGGAAGGGGATCAAATCCTCCATCGGGCGCTTGTTCGGGAAAAAAGAGAAGGGTCGCTTGATTCAGCTGAGCAGAGAAGGGGCCACGGGGCAGGGTCCGTGAGCAGCCCTATTCCCATGCGTGCCGGGCGGGTGTCCTCTCGGGCCAGGCTCTCTGCATGCCTCCTGGCACTGTCTGCCTTTGGGGTGCTGTTGGGGTGACATGCAGAGGAGCAGGGACACCCCTGCTGGTTTGGGGATGTTGGGGCCACTGGCTCTGGGCTCCCTGCAGCTTCAGGGCAATTGGGTCCTGATGCTTTCTGCCCCGCACCCATTTCTACCCTGAGCATGGTATCAGTCTTAATGCTCTGGAAGAGCTGCAGTGAGGATACTGACCCCCCCATCACTGTATCTTAGCTTTAATGTCCCCAAATCTGCTTCCTCCTCCATGGGACCTTCTTGATTTTGCAGAGCACTTTGGTAGGAGCAGCTTTTCCACTCGTAAATTCTTTACTGCTTCAATGTTGAGCATTTTGAGATGGGAGGGATGACAGGTGGGGATCCCCTTGAGCTTCCCCGGGATGTAGGGGGGCTGTGGGGCTGGTTGGAAATGGAGACTGTCACCTCCTGTGCTGCGATTGTGCATCCCCGAGATCCTGGCATGGGGACTGTGGCAGTGCCCACATTGACCCCGTGGGATATCACACTGACGTGAGGATGTCTTGCTTGCTCAACAGTGCTGCTGACGGACATGGAAGTGGGCATGCAGGACCCTCTGGGACTTGGCAAACTGGGTGCTCAAGCCGAGAAGGATCGGCGCCTGCGGAAGAAGTGAGTGAACGTCTTTCCCTGCCCCAGTAATAAAATGTCCTGCATGATGGCTGAGAAGCCATGGCATGGGGCTTCTCATCTTCACCCTCTCTTGAGCCCTTTTAGCTCCTTCATTGCTTTGCTACCAGCTGGTTCTTACTGCCCATGGTCTATTCCCTTTCTAGAGCTGCTCCCTTCCCCCTAGTAAATCACTCTCCTGCTTCTGTTTCCTCCAGGCATGAACTCCTAGAAGAAGCTCGGAGGAAAGGATTGCCCTTTGCTCACTGGGATGGCCCCACTGTCGTCTCCTGGCTGGAGGTGAGGCAGAGCATGCCTGTGCGTTGTCCCCATGCTCCAACAGCTTTGCAGTTGCCGTCGGTCTGTAGGTGCTCCCCCAGCAGCAGTACAGCACCCTGCAGTCCCACCATGCTTGGTCCGTGCACATGGTTGGTGGTTGTAAAACTTGGGAGAACAGAGCAGATTCCCAGATCCCGCACATGTTCTGTAGAGTTGTGGTTTGGGGTTTCCTCAAGCGCACACCTTAGCTTTGAGTTGAAAAGCTCAATGGCTCCTCTGTCCCTGTGCTGTGTCCATCGGATACAGGGATGCTAGGCTGCCCATAGGCCATCTGGGCAAGGTACAAACAAAAAAGTAGTTCCACGTGGGTATCCAGCTTTGATACTGAGCTTCAAACAGGGTGGCCTTGATCCTACCAGAAGAAGTTAGGGAAAGTCAACAGGGCAGTCACTGGATTTGTCCTGTTTTGGCAGCTCTGGGTGGGGATGCCAGCCTGGTATGTTGCCGCTTGCCGAGCCAACGTGAAGAGCGGAGCCATCATGTCAGCCCTGTCTGACACTGAGATCCAGAGAGAGATTGGCATCAGCAATGCACTGCATCGCCTGAAGCTGCGTCTGGCCATCCAGGAGATGGTCTCACTCACGAGCCCTTCAGCACCACCCACCTCACGAACAGTAAGTGCTTCATGCCACGGACCTCCTCTTCCCCCAGCCAGCCCCTCCATGGGGCAGTCGATACACTTGTTTCTCCCCTTTCCCTGACTCTTTAGGACCACAGTGGTCCGTCAGTCCCCAGGGAGTCCCAGCGTCACAGGCAAGCGTGGCCATAGAGAGGGTGATGTTCCCTCATGGACCAGTCAAGCCACCAGACACGTGTCCTCAGGCGCCAAGGTCATTTACGGCCATTGAGTGTGATGCACTTTCCTGTCTTGAGGCACCAGCAGACGTTCTTGTCCTCACACTCAGAGGTTGTCAGCAAGAGGCTGACCCTGCCGAGCAGCCTGCAGAGAGCAAAGCTCAGGGACTATCTGCCCTGGAAAGGATGAAATCCCACCCAAACAGCACATTCATGATTTACAGGGTCGACTCAGTTGTGCACAGCCGTTTTCTCAATCAGTTCAATACAAACCTTTTCCTGGGACCGTGTGAAATTCCTGGGGCAAGTCAAAGCAACTGCAGATCCCAGCCTTGCCCTGGATAGCACATGGAATGGATGGAGGGATCATGTCTTGTGCTGGTCCCCAAAACCCCTGAGGGATTAATGGTGCCCCAGTAATGCCAAGATACATCTGTAGAAATGCAGTCAGCAGAAAGGCCTCGAGCGTGTTGTGTCCCCTCAGATGGCCGTGGCTGGGGTCACAGCTGTCAGAGACAAGCCTGCAGGCTCCATGAGCATAACACCAAAGTATAAAGGCAGCCAAAGGGCCAGTGGTCCTTGCTGTGCTCTCTGTGGCTGCACAGACAGCCCAGGGTCCTTACGGCAGCGTGCCACCAGCCCAAGCTGCAAGGATGCTGCAAGATCTCCCCAGTACAGCTCCAAGCGCAAGGGTGGCCTGATCCTCCATCAGCCTGAGCGAGGCTTGTTTCCAGCACGGCTGTGAACTGAGGCCGTGACTCCATGGTGGTTTACCCTGACCACTCTGCTCTTTTCCCTGCAGTCCTCTGGAAACGTCTGGGTCACCCATGAAGAGATGGAGAACATGGCGACTTCCACCAAGACGGTGAGGCTGGCTGGCCCCACTGCCGCTGCACGGCATATCGGTTACCGAGCTGAGCTCTGGGCATGCATTAACACACTAAACCCCGGGAGGGAAGGGGATCTTTGCTACATCTCATGTGTCAGCTCTTGGCCAGCACCATGCACCTGTTTAGAAACCATCTTTCAACCTTTAATATCCCAACAATTTCCAAAACTGGCTTAAAAACCATCAGATGCATTTTCCTTTGTCAAGCCCCTGTGGATTTTACTGGGTTTCTAGAGTAGTTTTTCTGTTGTTTGTGAGTTAGAGGAAAGAAAAGAAAGACAAAAACCAGGAGTGATAGAGACCCACATTGGTTATTCTACACCCAGAGAAGTCACTGTCTAATCTGCTGTTGACCTTGGCACACCCAAATATTGTCCCCACTGTCTGTCCCTGCCACTCTGACTGATAGCTTGGGGTCCCTTGGAGGGATGTGGCCATGCTCCCAAAAACTCTGGCTCCTTTGGAGATATGTAGCTGTGTGCCCCTCTCTGCAACTAGACCCTATGCCCATGTCTCAGAGTAGGAGCAGCGTTTTGGATTTGTTGTGTGAATGAAGCATTTTATTGAAGCTTGTGTCTGCTAGTCAAGTAGCACAGACCTGTAACTGGCGCCTGTAACTGGTGGGTGCTTTTTGGGGGCAGAGAGCTCAGAGTTGCGGCAGGGATGTGACACATTCCCTTGGCAGGTTTTGTGAGGTGAACAAAACCAGCACAGGTTGACAAGGGAAGAAATAGCTACAAAATTGGCAGATTGGTTTGGGCAGCCCCTCTGGGGGTTGTGACCTGTGAGCTGAAGCTTAGGTTTCTCTCTGCACCCATCTGTCTTTGGGGGACCCGAGAACTACCCATATTTCGCAGGAAAGATGCATGAGCCCTAGTGTCTGTGCCATCTGCAGCCCAATGCCCAGCAGAAAAGCCTCATCCTGTGTACTCCTAACTGGACTGAGAGATGGGGTGAAACCCGGGCCCAGCAGGGTCGGGGTGTCCCCAGCACCCTGTCGACAAGGCTGAGCTCCCCGAGCCATGCAGCCGTGAGACCAACCCCCATCCCCTCTGGGTCACACCGTGCTGAGGGGTCCCCACGCTTAGCACACATGGCACACACTTTCACGGTGCAGGGCCGCCGGGTACTGACTTTACCTGTCCTTTCTATTGACATGCCGCATGTGTCACGCTTAGGACACAGAGGAAGGCAGCTGGGCACAGGTGAGGCCCCCGTGTCACCCTTTTCCGCGGGCGGTACGGGGGGTGGTTGTGGGAGGGGGAGCTGGAACATCACAGGGCACCCAGGGAATGAGCTTGGGGCATCAGTATTGGCCAAGTCCTGCTTGGAGTCGAGCCTGCACCCTGTGGTTGCTCCTCTGAGCCATCTCTCGAGCATGGGGTGATCCTCCTGGGACCTCGCATAAAGCAGCATCCTCCTCTGCTTCAGGCAGAGTGACTTTTTCTACATAAGACACAGATCCTGTGTTAAAATCCCAATGTAAGAGTGACCAGCCACCCTGCATGGGAGGCAGGTTTCTAGCTGCACAGACATCTAGTTTTCACCATATTTTTTAGTCCCACGTTCAGAGTATAGACCATTTTCATGAACTGAAAAGGTGGGAGGAAAGATTCCTGCTTGGATCCGTCTCTTCTGGTTTTAACTCTCAATGGTTTTACTTTTATTCTGGTGGATTTTATTTCATTTTCGGACCCAGAGAGAGCTTGCAGTGAAAGTGAATGGATGTTTTTCTGCCCTAAATGGACTTTTTTTTTCATTTTGAAGACATAAAGCATCTTCACATTTGGTGATTTCTAAGCTGCTTAAAAATCAGTTGGGAATGCACTGAAACCTCTTTCTTAGTTAGTTGTTTCAGCTTTCATGAATGTGCTTTTTCCAGAAGAAGCTGATCATACAGTCCACCTGTCGCTTATGCTTGCCTTTTGGCTACTGCCTTGTCTCCTTGGGGAACATCAGTAGGACACAGACCATGGCCAACAGGGCTGTTCCTTCCAGCTCCTTCAGTACAAACTAGGATTAAACTCCTCTGGCCTAGGTTTAGTCCTCAGGACAGTGACCTCCAGGCTGCAGCATTGAACTGTCACTGGTCTCCTGGGAGTCTGCAGCTCCACCAAGTCCTGGTTTCTCCCTAGCTTCTCCATTTGCTTGTCCACAGACACTGGCCTATGGAGACATGAACCATGAGTGGATTGGGAACGAGTGGCTGCCCAGCCTGGGTCTCCCACAGTATCGCAGCTACTTCATGGAGTGTCTTGTTGATGCACGGATGCTGGACCACCTGACCAAGAAAGATCTCAGAGTTCACTTGAAGATGGTGGACAGCTTCCACCGGTGAGTCCCCTCCTTCAGGAGGTTCCTGGGGTGCAGTGTCTGCTTTGGAGCAGAGGATGGGGCAATTTGAGAGATTCTACCCTGTCTTGGTCAGCCCTAGTGCTGGAGGATGGCTTTTCTAGGCTAAAATCAACCACCTGATCTGGGGCAGCTGGTATGGGCAAATGTTCTTCTTCAGCACACTCCTTCCAGCAAAATTGCAGAGGACAAGCCTTCTCCTGGCTGTGGAGCAAACCACAGGCAAAAAAAAAAGCTCATACCACCCGGTCTCCCACTGGCAGGCAGAACAGTCATCTGCCAGCAGCCCAGCTTGAAGAAGGCTTGTGCCATCCCAACCACCTTGCTCAAGCACCAGTACCCTCATCTGCTGACCACCAGTGCTCAGATCAGGAATGGTTATGGTGGGAATCATGGGCATCGGCTCATTCCTCTCTCTGGCATGCAAAGAGGAAAGGATGCACATCCTGGCATGGCTTTTGAGTGGGCAGGTCAGTACCCCAGTCCATGGGGTACCACCGTCTACCCCAGCCATAGGGCTGTGTCTACGGAACTGCCAGGGCCCTCCCTGCTCTGGGGATGAACCCTTCAGGCTGGAGCAGCCCCCATGGGCTGGTTCTCCCCAGCCACCAAGCTCTGAGTATCGTTGCTTAGATCTGCGCATTCTCAAGAAGGTAGAACAGAGTAAAACTGATGGAGTGGGGAATTACCATGAAAGGGAGGGATATTCTCTGTTTTCCGGCCTAGATCTTCCCTTTGGGTTGTGTCTGGGCTGACCCAACCCTGAACTGAAGCATCATTTGGGCATGTGGAAACCAAGAAGGGAAGTGGGTCCCTCCACAGGTCCCTCCAAGCCACCTGCCCCACAGTACTGAGCCGTCCTGAGGGTTTTGTGACATCTTGTGTCCTTGCAGCACCAGCCTGCAGTACGGCATCATGTGCCTGAAGAGACTCAACTACGACCGCAAAGAGCTGGAGAGGAGGCGAGAAGAGACCCAGCACGAAATCAAAGGTCAGCAGCCACATATACAATCCAGCTCTAGAAAATGAGATGAGAAACCTCCAAGGAGATACCCAGTGGTGGTCTCTCCTATTCCTTATTTTTAACACAGCATTTTCCTGGGGAAAATCATTATTTCTGAGCAACCATTCCTGGAGGGCTCTTCTCCAGGGGGAACCTCCCTGCAGTATTTCCCCAACAGATTGCTCCAGGTGCCTTTGTGCAGCTCAGTGAGACATGAGGAGGGAGGAAGGGTGTCAAGACAGGGAAGATCCACTGCAAGCATCAGATAGGCTTCTCCTGCCCCTTTCAAATGCTTAGGACACCCCCCAGCTTGCTCAGCATCCCCTCCCTCATTCACTGTCCTGAGATTCCCTGCGCATCTGGCTGCTGCTTAGATTACATCTCATTATTGATAATGCCCCTAATTACACCAGCAGCCGTGGGTTCTTAGGATTAATTTTCACAGTTGTTTTCTGTCTGTTATTTCAGCATTCAGTTTGGTAAATTGAAGGGAGCTGTTCCTGGCACTTGAGCACCCAGTATCACTGCTGGCTCAGGAAGGAGAGTCCCAGGATCAGCCTAGGGCTGTGCCAAAGGGTTTCAGGACATCAGCAGGTCCCCGCACAACCAAGAGTGTGCTCTGAGCTGGCTCTGAGACATGCCCTTGCTCTTTTGCAGACGTGTTGGTGTGGACCAATGACCAGGTCATTCACTGGATCCAGTCCATTGGGCTTCGCGAGTATGCAAACAACCTCATCGAGAGCGGGGTGCACGGGGCACTTCTGGCCCTCGATGAAAATTTTGACCACAACAGTCTGGCACTCGTGTTGCAAATCCCCACACAGAACACACAGGTAACAGCAGCATCCTTAGGGGATTTTGGAGGAGGGTGGCCAGCGTGGGACACTGTTGCGGTGTGACTCCACCAGTCCCACCGACTCAACTCTGCCTTTCAAAGCAGAGCACTCAGATGGCACGTGGGCTTTTTCTCTGTTGTTCTCAGACTTTCCTGGGATGGGAGTTTGTGCTGGAAACTGTTCCCACCAATGGGGAATGCTCATTTTTTGTTATTCTCAGGCTCGACAAGTGCTGGAGAGGGAGTTCAACAACCTGCTCGCCTTGGGCACAGATCGAAGGCTGGACGATGTGAGTACCAAACCTCTCCCACCTCTAGATCATGCTGAGCGCCTGTTCTTGCGCAAGAAACAGGAGAGGCAGGACCTCTACTCTCTTCCTCCTTGTCCAAGGGAGTCAAATAGTGCCTCACAAACTCTCTAGCGCAGTCACATGAGCAGTATCAGTGGAATAAGCTAAAACTATTAGACAAGGCCCTGAGGAATGTGCTGCCAGGCTGTGGATGCAGGTGAGGTAGAATCCTGTGCATCCTTTCTAGCCTCATGCTTGGTGGGCTGAATTTCAAGTAGGCTCACCTGACTCTCCTTGCCAGCTGCTTTAATATTGCCTTTTAGAGTCACAGATGTTCTGGGCATGACACATCTGTGGTGGGTAAAGCTCGTGGGTTGGATGCCCCATTAAGCAGCCAGAAAGCTGTTCACGTTGAGTCACTGAAGGTGGGAATTGATCTAGATCCCTCCTATGTATATCTTTCCTCCATGAGATAACATAGCAGAGCTAGTCAGGGCTCTCTGTAGAGCAGAGAAGCAGGTGCTTCCAGATGCCATTATCTGGCCAAGGTTAGATGCATCCCTTGGGGACTTTATTGGGGCTTGTGTGTTGATGTCTCTGAGGCATCTTTGCAGACAGGCTGGAGAGAAGAAATAGGTAAGCTGGAAAAGATGGAGCCTATGTTGTGTGGTCCTGGAGAAGTCTCCTATATCCTTGGCTCGATCTGATCACACACTTCTGTTTGAGTTGGTCTCCATGTACAGGCACACCCTAATTAGGTGGAAGCAGTGCTGGTATCTCACAGGGGCAGAAGGTCCTGCTGCCACTGATGCTGGGCTCATAATCTGCTCTTCCCTCACAGGGCGATGACAAGACCTTCCGTCGAACCCCGTCCTGGCGAAAGCGCTTCCGCCCGCGAGACATTCACAGCATCAACATGCTCAGCGGTCCAGCCGAGACACTGCCAGCCGGCTTCCGCGTCACCAGCCTGGTGCCCCTGCCTCCTCCATCTGCCCCTGCCAAGAAAATGCCCCCAGAAGGTAGGTCACCACCATCTCCCCAGGGTCCTCTCCCACCCCTGCTCAGACCTTATGGGGAATGTGGGGAATGATGTGCCACCAGGGAGAGAGGCTTGCTGATCACCTGCAATGCTGAATCCATGTAATCCTTGAGCCGTTGTCTGCTGTAAATTGTCAGGGTTATTTCAGACTCTGGTCTGGTGTGCGGTTTCTTTGTTTTGAACTGCCAGGGTGACGGAGATGGCTGGATTGGGGCACAAAATGGGGATAAGTGTCACCCACCCTGGGTTTGGCATCCAGGTCAGAGCCTGTTGGGGTAGCATTGGGGGCTGTCAGGAAGCAGCAGCCCATTCTGGGCCAGTCTTGTCCCCATTTTGGAAACCAAAGGGACTGAATTAACCAGCTCAAGTCAGTCCGAGCACTGCTGAGCTCTCTCAGAGTTGGCCGAGACGTGCTTTGACACGCTTGCTGCCCGTGCTGCTGGCTGTCGTGTTATAGCTGAGTGTATGTGTCGCAGGCTCTGCCCCACCACCACACAACTCTTTTGTACAAGTTATCTTGGTTCCTTCCAAAGCTGTAGGGTGGCACAAGCTCCAGCCAGGTCACCCCAGTTTGTCCCCTGGACCAGGAGCCCTGGTGCCACTGTCCCAACCTATCTGCCACCTGGTGCAGAGCTGGCTTCCACAGGCTCAGAAATGAGCATATGAAGGAGCATTAAAAACTTGTGTTTTCACCTTCCGGTTCCAAGCCCCAGGCTCAGCTCTCGTCCTTCTGTCTCCAGATTTGCTCAAAACTCACAGTTTTCCATTCAGAAGTTTGGGTCCAATTTCTGCTCGATCCTGGAAGCTGCAATTCCCACCCATCTGAGGACAATGAAACCTGGGACAAAATCCCTAGGTCTGACAGCACCCAGACACGGCTGGCAGGGAGCTCGCTGCCTGAGAGTAGGGATAGCAAGCAGCAACTTTCCAAATACCCTGGAGCCTTGGAAGCATCAGAGCTGGCCGAACGTGCCTCTTCCTTTGACCCTCACCTTCATATGGCTTCAGTGCACAGACTCTGCCTAATAAATGTTTCGATGGGAAGCTGAGGGCTAATTGGAACAGTCGCTAATTGCACGCTCTGCTCTTTGACTCACTTCCAGTTGGTGCCTCTGGGTCGCCAAGGCTGGAGACCTCCACGGTCCGGACGTACTCCTGCTGAGGGTCAGCGTGACGGGAACCAGCCCAGCCCTGGGTAAGTGTGAGGAGGACCGAGGCCTCAGAGCTGGATGGGGACCGAGAGGAGAGCACGAGGCCCAGCGTCCTCGGCCCGGCATCACCCAGGCAGGGTGTGTGCCTTCACCAAGGTTTGCCTCGCCATGGAGGAGCACAGAGACCTCAGTGGTGGGGGAACAGCCCGCTGCTGCCTGAGGCTCACAGGACCCTGAGATGATGCAGAAGGGATGCTCAGCATCCCAACCACATACAGTTTGTCCAGTCCCTGGAGAGACAGCTCCACTGGGGACCCCAGGATGCCATCCTAGATGGGGGGATCCCACTGGGGTGAGGGAAGGATAGTCAAGCACTTCAGAGAGTCTCCTGGGACCTTGCTGTACCCTGGGGCACGGCTCCCCTGTGCCAGGAGGATTCATTACCAACTCTATCTGGGTTTGTTGGCCTGTGGGTGCACGGGGGGAGAGATGAGCCACCATCCTCACGGGGCCTTTCCCACTTCGTTTCTCAGCACATCCCCACTATCCGTACGGCCACACACTGGCTGTCTTTCAGGACAAGCGCCCGGCCTGCGCCTGTTCCTCGGCCCAAACCAACAGACGCTGCAGTCTCGCTGCTGTGGACCGAAAAGGATGCTCTCCCTTCTGCTTGTGCACCCCACCGTTTCCCTGGCTCCCCTTGGCTCCCGCCTGTGGCTTATCCGCCCACCTCTCCCCACACTGGCTGGGCTACAGATGTGCTTGCTGCGTGCCCGCTCTGTTGCTGGCAGAAGCGTGGTACAACCCATCGGAGTGGCAGAGATGCCCCAAAAGTGGGCTGCAATATTTGGAAACCTTTCTCCTGCCTGGTTCATGTTGCCAATGCGCCATGGGCTGCTGCACTGACTCGCCCAAGCCCCAAGCATCGGGGACGCTGCTGCCCACAGGACTCAAAGCCAAGGAAGATTCAGGCTCATGAAAATCTTCGTGCTGGGGCAGCCGGGCAAGGAGTTGCCCCCAGGGGAACCGGGGCCAGTGCCAAGGTCAGCGCTGCACAGGACGGAGCAGGGACCGGCCATTGTGGGGGCAAGGAGAATGGCTGTCTGCCAAGAGGTGGGCGGTCAGGGTGCTGTGTTTTGGGGTGCTGCCAGACACCACACGGGGGGAGGCTGCGCCTGCACAGCGGGTCCACGAAGGGCTGCGTGGGGAAGGGCTGGAACCGCCCCATATGGCTCACTGCCGGCCGGGATGGTACCTGGCACCCACGGGACGGGGGACCCTCCTTGGGCGTCCAGGAGAGACACGGCAGGGGCACCCACCGCCCCGGGACGTGCCCATCCCTTCCCCTCCGGGTGCAGAGGAGATGCTCTTCCCTCCTGCCTCCAAGCTACAGACAGGGATCAATCCAGGAGGCTCTTAACTCTTCCCATTTCTTCCCCGTAGGGTAGGATCTCTTCGTCTCCTCATGCCACGTTTGCCTTGTGTGGCCCCTATTTCTGATGTGATATTTATTGATGGCTGGAATGACCTTATACTTATCATGTGCTGTCTGGAAGTGCAATATCTGAGAGGCTATACAGTCACGATGTCTTTTTGGTGTATTATTTGCCTAATACAGTATTAAATATTTTTTTAATTTGAAGAGTCAGTGAGCCCTTTATATCAATGCCCTATTTCTTTCATCATATTATTGGTACTGCATGGACTCCAAACCCTGGATCGGGTCAGGAAAGGATGTATGTGTGTTCCAATAAACAGGATTTTAAAACAGTGCTGGCTTGAGCCTTCTTTCTAGAGCCCAAATTAAAAATACAATTAATTTTTAGCTCCCCTGAGAGTTTTTGGGGTACAGGGCTGAGCCCAGTTGCAAACCAATGAAATCATTGGTCTCTGCAGGGCTCATTAAAGCCTGGGACATCCAGTTCCCACTGCTGAATGACCATGATGAGGTCCAGCTGGGTTTTCTGACATGGAAAAATCCCCAACCTGGGAATTAAGGGAGACCTGCACAGAGGAGGACAGCGGTAAAGGAAGCCCCGAGCCATTCAAACAAGAATGCCTTTATTAAAAAAAAAAAAAAATCCAAATAAGTTAGCAAAAATAATAATTAAAAAAAAACCCCAAATGGCAACTCCACACAGCGTTCAGTAGAAAAGACGGTGCGGGCAGCCTCCGCAGGGCTCAGCACCCATGGGACGCCAGCCGGAGAGAGACGTTGGTCAAAGAGCATCTTGGAAAAAAATCAGCAAGCGAACCCAGCACACACATTGGCCCCCAAAAACCAGTCACCCCCGGACAGGGAGCGAAGCAGAGTCCGACGCCAGGCAGCCACCTTGCGGGAACTGGGGCCGCTACCAGTGTGGGGCCTCGGCGCGGCTGAAATCCCACCTCTCCCCATCATTTTTTTTCAGCTGGCTGAGCGGAGCATTTTGCGAGGAGTGGGAAAGGAGGCGAGTGGTTTCAGCGGTGCAGTCCACGACGCCGGAGGGGTAAATACGATTTCCAGCGGCTGGACCCTTCCGGCATCTTACTCCCACCCTGTTACCAGCTTGAAGAGCCGCTGGGGTTTCCGCTGGCTCAGTTTTGAACCTGCTCCTCCTGGAACGTCACAGCCACGTCCTCCACGGCGATGCTCTCCACGATGGAGGAGAGCGAGTGGAGGTTGCGGTCCTCTGCTGCATCGTTGGCCAGGAGGTGATCTGCAGAGAGCAAGCGGATGATGAGTCTGCTGGGGACGGGGACCGTGTGCTGGGGACGGGTCCTGGCTCCACACAGGGGGGACCCCGCGATCCCCCGCACAGCCAGAG